GCAAATGACTCATGACTCAATGACCAAGGTCATTTTGACATGACTTCGGGTCATTTGAAAATTAGTCAAATGACCTGTTCATTTGCCATCACTGGGTTGGATTGGAACTTGTAGGAACTTTGGTTGGATTGGAGTTTGTAGGAACTCTGGTTGGATTGTAGGTTATAGGAACTCTGGTTGGATTGGAGCTTATAAGAACTCTGGCTGGACTGGAGCTTGTAGGAACTATGGTTGTGGTTGGATTTATAACGGTGTAGCTAACAGTGGTGTTACTGGTGTAGTTTGGGTTTTCTTTTTTTTTAAAAAATATCTTTTTAGTAGCATAGCCAACAGCAATTGCTGTTAAAGGGTCTATCGTCATTTTCTTGGAAATCAGAAAAAATAATTCTAATAATTCTATTAAATATAAATTACTAGATGAGATGGATAACAAATATTTGGGGTGCGCGTATATGATTCATATCTTATATTACTAACTTTTATTCATTTAAAGCGACTGAATGCGACTAAATGTGATTGAATAACTTTTCTAATGGTGCAAAAATTATGAAATTAGCGTTAAGTCTGACATTCGAAATTTTTTACCAATATGTACGATTAAATGTTATAGAGTATGATTATTAGTATTTCTATACAGTATTGGTTGTGTTATATATTAAAAATTTCTATACTCAAAGTATAGTTAATTTGCAACTATACTGTATAGATAAAATAAAATACTATACTGTATAAATTTTCATAAACTATACTATACAACATAGGAGATCATATCATACTCAATATCTATATTATCTTTTATACATGCATGACATTTAAAACCATACTTTTCAGTACCCGAAAAATTCATTCACGCTGATTTTTCATTAAAAGATTTAAGAAATTTCGTAAAATTTTGGGGATTTTTTTTTTAGTTCATTATTTCTATTTTTATTTCATTATTATATTTTATTTCTCCGAGTACCTTCAATTAATCAACTAATAATATCCTTATTTTCTACACTAATCTCAAAGCGAAGATTATTTAAAATGACGAATCAATACTGTCATGATTATTCATATTTGATAAATAGTCGCACTATTAATTAATACACTTATAAAAAGAATCAAACTGCAGCAATTATATTTTATTTTACCGAATAAAACTAAAAAATCAATTCTTGACTATGTAGATTCTGTAGATTCTGCGAACTTTAAAATTTATGAATAATAAATAATAAATTTGTTTTAAAGTGACCAAAATTATTATTAAATGCATGATTTAAAATGCACGAATGTTCAGGAATTAACTGAATTAACTACAATATTTAATAAAGTTAAGTTATTGTAACGAAAATCCTTGCATATCAAAAGACATCATGTTATCGAAATCTGCATACTAACCTAATATGCTTAAAAAATACGGAATTTTTTGTTTTAAATGAAATTGAATGATAGGAGGGGAAGGCTATATATATAATGTGTCATATCTTCGTACCATATACTATATCAACTATATTATAGTTTCTTTATTCTTTGTTTTAATCATGTTTCAAATATTCCACCGCTGATAATGCTATTAATACCTTTAATGAAAGTGTCATCTGACGACTTTTTTATAGTACTTGGCAAAAAAGTAAATTTTTTTTGGGGCTTTTTTTTATTTTCAAGATCTACATTTCCGGGGGAAAAATCGATGGAGTCTAAAAAAAAATACATTTAAACCAATTTTAATTTTTAGCATGATTACATACCGTACGTATCGTATATTCGTCTGAGATTGATTATTGCACCAATTTCATTGTTCAAAAGTGAACTCAGTTTACTCAGTTTCTAATATAAATAAATTTTTATTGAAATTTGTTTCCGTATGCTGAATCAAAATAATTACTTTGGTTTTTATAATTATCTTAGTATAATCAATAAGCTATTGCTATGTATTAGGACTCCCTCCTCTCTGCATTTATTTCAGATCGGCAATCTCGTTACCGAATTGTGACACGACCCATATAGAAATCTATTATAGTGATGTTAACTGTCACGACCAAAAACAAAACACGCTTGTTGTAATAGATCATTAATGCCTTATAGTAAATTGCGATGATAGAAATGAAACTAATTAAACAACTTAGCGTATATTTCCTTTTAAGTAAAATTTAAGTTAAAAGCGTAAAGTTTGTTTGGGTAGTTTCAATTCAATATCGATTTAATTTTCTTATTAAAGGACGGTTAGATTTGAGAAAAGTGAAATAAATGTGTGTTGTGTATGTTGTGGTGTAGATAATTTTGGAGTATAAGCGTAATCAGAAAATTCGCAATTATTTGCAAATTAATAAAAATTATTATTAACGAAGCATTTAGTTGCATCGTGAAGATAATTTTGGCCAGTTGTTTGGTGGCCAAATATGTTATCTGGCCAATATGCCCCAATATGTCTTCTGGACAATAAAGTCCTTTATTATTTTCTGGTATATAATTGTGGGACTTTTTTTATTAAAAATTAGCGTCCGATATATCTAAATAATAAAATATGACATTTAGTATTATTTTCCCTTTCCCTTTCCCTTTCCCTTCTCATTGTATTGTAATAACCTACCTGATCATATAGAGCGCCGACGTTGAAGCAATACTTTATCTACGTTGTATTAGATTAGAAACTCCGTTATTATTAATAAAATAATTAAAAATGCAAAACCTTTTGCTTACCTTTGCTTTGTTTACAACCCATAAACACTAAAAAACTGCGAATAACTGTATAATTTACAAACATCGCACAGGAAACAATTATTTCTTTTAATAAATGAATTTTCTTTTTGTCATAATACCATCTTTCACAAAATGAATATTTGTCAAATTAAATAAACATCAAATTATAATGATACATAATTAAGTTCGTGGTGATTGTGTTTCTGTGTGACATGTGATTCATTCTCTATAATTTTAGTTTGGATGGAATTCAAAAATAAGTAATAATGTTATGCGCACATACTAACACGTTATAATAATGATAAATTTATCCGAATGAATGCATATTGTTTTGAATTTGGCGATAGACGAGACGTTCTTACTAATATCATTAACCGTATATTAGGTTGATAATCTGCATTTTAGTTATTTAGTCCATGTTAACTAATTTTATAAAAAAAATCACACATAATTGTTTCATAGAAATTTTTTAAAAAATGCGTAACTAATAAATATATATTTATTATTTGAAATTGTAGTGTTACAAGTAACAATAAGTAATGCAGGACGGCAAACTAGATTTTAATATTAAGTGAATATTACATAAAAGATTACCTAAATATTTATTATACTTGCGAAATTGTTTTCTTATCATGATACAACAAATAAATGAACATGAATTTTCTCCTTTTTTTAAAAAAAAAGAAAAAAACTTGATTGAATCTCGTCGCAGCAAAGTTTACATGATTATTTTATTTCGAAATTTGAAGGTCTAAGAAGATGTACAAGACATCAAGCGATCAAAAGAAGCAAATGAAGATTTAATTCTTTATGATTATTATTTAAATTTTTCAAATTGAAATATTTTTTTTTTTTTATAAATATACCCTTTACCGAATTTCCATACCAACGAAGAGACGGAATCAACCGAGTCATTTGACTCGAATCGAGAAAAAATTCGAGTCGGGACTATCATTTTGTCACGAGTCCTAATTTCTTAAAACCCGTCGGGTTAGGGTCACAATTTTGCTTGACCCAGGTGATTAAATGATATAAATGATATGCGCGACTATAATCTAAATAATGAGCGAAACTACCAATCTGATAACATAGCTTCTCTTGGAAATGAAAAGCATTGCGAAGTGAGGTTATTGCCAAAGAAATTTTTGAAGAAAACATTCTTCCACCTGAACATAAAAATTCAAAACCATCGTGAAGTTAGATGTCTACTGCTCTTATGTAGTATATTATTATTTTTTTTTTTTAAGAAAATTTTATAGGACAAAACATGGCGCCGCAATATTGGTGATTCAAATACATCAAATATTTGTTGTTATTTAAAACACCTTCATCCAAAGAAAAATGAAATTATTTTAATAAAGCAACGAATGTTCATGTCTTAAAGCCGATATAATCGCGCGTCTGTGTTCGAATTCCTAGAGCCAAAAATCCTTAACCGGTTAATAACCGGTTAATTTAACTCAGGCCGGCACTATAAATTTAGGCAAAACTTGCGAAATTTTGTAATCACAAAAAATTTTATTCTGCCCGAAAATTAAATTTTGTCCAGAAGTTAAGATTAAATATTTTAACCGGTTAACGATAACGTCTTAACCGGTTAATTAACAAAACTAACCGGTTTCAACCTCTACAAATTCCTGGTGGCAATAATATATTTTAAAAAATCAAATTTGAATTAATTACTACCAAAGAACTTCAAAAATAATAAACTTTCAAATTTAATGCTACTTTTTTCATTATTTGTTATAAATAAATATTACCCTTAAAAATTCGAGAGTTAAGGGTCGGGTCGAATTCAAGTCCGGTAAATATTAACGGAATATTCTTCAATCCGACCCGAAACTTACGGAGCACTAATAAGAACTATAAAAAAATGGTCGTTAGTATCGTGTAAAAAAATTTATCCAAAAAATTTATCCAAAAAATTTTTATTTATTATATCCAAAAAAAAAAAGAACCTTTTTTTTCGTATATGGGAGCTGATCTATTAAAAATGGGTTACGGGAACCTTAATAGCAAAATCTCAAAAATCTCAAGTGTTACGAAATTGATGTAACAATATTTTTGACATGGCGTATTTAATAGCAAAATTTTAGATATATAGTTTCATTATTTTTAAAATAATTTAATATTTGTAAAAATAATTATTATAATAAAATGTTATATATATAGACTCAATATTATTTTTAGTGCAATTTTTTATTGGTAAGTATGTTTATTGTGGCGTAACCATTTTTTGATCATCAATTACTCAAAATCAATTTACTAGTCCTGTAACCCATTTTTAATAGATAAGCTCCAGTATAAGTATGATTTGCCTACTGGGTGATGTAATTGCGCATAGGTTGTGTTCCATAAATTCCGAACAAGTTCATTCGCTGTGGGGTGAATGATTATTTTTAAAAATATATTTCAGAAGAAATTTACATTTCAAGCCAATCAAAAAATTCTTGATAAATGAAGTTTTAATTTTCGGGCTTTTTTAAAATGATTCTCTTTCATAAAAGAATTTAGCATAATTTTCATAATCCTTTTTACGGTGAATTATCTAAATTGACCGACCACTACTTTTAATGAACAATTTTACTAATTTGATTTATGGTTGATTTGATCCAACTTTTCACATTAAGTTAAATTTTCATCAAACATCTCTAAGTGATAGATTTTATTAATTTCTAATCAAAAATTAATATAAAATAACAGACATTAGATCTATTACTAGTACACAAAAACTTTCATTAATAATAATAAAAAATTTATGGTCATCTTATGCGATATATAAAGAAAAAAATATATAAATTCCTCATTTTTTTTTAACGAAAATAGTTCTTTGCTTAATACAACCACCCAATAACAAGTATTCTGAAAATATAAACAAACTTAAATTTAGATAATTTTTGATAACATTAATATTTAATATTTTGAGATCAAACCAACTGATTATTATTATCTTGCTGAGAAGTGGAAGGTTGATTAGGCGCCAAATAATCTACAAGGGATCGTCTTAAGTGAAATTCAAGGTTTTGTTTATGGTCATAAGTAAATTCCAAGGGTTGTTGTTGCTGCTGATCATTGTGTCTCAATTCGATTCCAAAAAAATTCAAGTTTAAATGCTGAACGATAGCCGAATGAGAAATCATTTCACAATCCACATGGTAAATTCTTTGATCATAAGGATGTTGAAAATAAAATACGAAAATTTCATTTGCATTAAGATAATTATAAGACAATTCTGCTATAAGTTCATTTGAGGTTATTTCTTTACAAAAAACGAGATAAATTTGAAAATCGTTGTTTGGTCTGAAATAGAATAAAGATTCTTGAGGCACAAGGATGCCCTCTCTAGAAGCTGAAGCGTCTTGTACAGCATTATCATTGCCATTTTGAGTATTATGTGAAGCAGACATTAAGAAAAAATTAAATTTCTGAAATTACTGTTAAATGCTGCGGCTAATTGAATAATTGAATTGACTATATCGATATGCGTCGACTAAAAGAGCCAATTTTAGACGTTGGCGTTGTGACCTTTTGGGAGGGAATAATAAAATCTTTCTAAGAAACTGAAATAATTTTTAACGAAAAAGAGAAATGTCGCGTAAATTTATGCTGTGCCACCCACAATTTTTTGAGGGATGTTGAAAAGACACATTCCTGCGCCACAATATTTTTTAAAAAATCAGTTGTTGCTCACCTTTTGTATTTGAACTCAATGTTATATTTTTAAAACGCTGAATAATTTTAATATTTGGAACAAATCGAACATTTGGTAACAGGAGGTTATTGATAGATAAAAATCCACTTTCGTCCTGTTCTTCTCCTTTGTGAAGTGGATAGATATGGATGAGTGTATTAGACCTTTTTATTTTATTTTTTATAGGATATTTGCATTCTAAGCTTTTGGATGGATGATAAATTCTCGAATAATATATTTGTTTAGTTTTATTACAAATTAAATTTTTTTTACCTTCCAAGCATATTTGTTAACAAAAAGAAAAATGACTGTTGCGGGACCGATCAACAATATTTAAATTAAAAATCCGCCTGATCGACAAATTAATTCCTCTATCGCGATTTTATCACGATTTTGATCCACGGAGAGACTAGACATTTCCTAGTTCGGTGTATTTCTTGATAATATTTCTGTGAAACTCAAATGGATAGTCATTTTTGTGTTACTTTAATCAGAGTAACATAATACAAACGTTTTTGATAATAAGTTTTAAATAATTAACGTGTTACTTATGCACAAATATTATAAATACGCGAGAAGGTTTTTATTTTTTTTTAAAAAAATCCTTCATATGTATTTCATATTATTTCGCATATACCAGAAGATATTCTAAGTTTGTATTACGTTATTGATCTATCAAGAAGTATACCAAATTTGAGTTTCACAGAAATATTATCAAGAAATATACCGAATTTGGGTTTCACGGAAATGTCTACCACAAGTATGAAAATTTTGATCATGTGATCGAACAAATCACCCAATCAAATTTGAATGTGGTTAACACAAAATCGTAAAAAAATTGTCAAAATCGTGATAAAATCGTGACCAACAAATCCTGGACACCCTAATTCAAGTTTATATATATCACATGACCCGTGTTTGATTGATTTACAAATTTCCTATTACCGATTATATTGAATCATTTTCTGTGTATTTTTGAAAGTGAAGCACATTCTAATTTAATTAGCTTTTCTTAAATATATATTTTTGGATATTATTGGCCTAACGGCCATATTACCACAAATATAAATACACCGGATCATTCGTGAATTGCTCATTATTTTTAAAAAAAAATATCTTTGACAAATATGAAGATTAAAAATAATATTATGACTGATTGTTAATATTCGGTCATAAAAGTCGTATTACTCAGTTATACTACATTATAAAAATTCTTCATTAATTCCAAAACATTGAATTATAATGAGTTTGGTTTAATATTAATTCTTTTAATAAAAAAGTATAATTATCTCCTTCTGTATTTACCTAATATATATAGCTTTTCGTAAAATCCTAATAAAGAGTTTATATCTGCAGAATAAAATTTGATGTGAGAAAATTTACATTGTTAAGGAGTCTATATATTTATAGTAAAAATATCAAAAATTTGTGTTGAGTATATTTTTCTTTAATAAATTATTGGAAAAACAGATAGATGCGACTCGACATTTCTGCTATATTTACACTTCACTAATAAAATTATTTACAAATCTAAACAGTTCAAGGTTGATTTTTAGTTAAATTCTTATTTATTGATTCTTCGTCAAAAAAAGGATATTGTAAAGCAATGAATGAATTAGTTCACCTTTTTACTTTGTATAGATAAAACGATCTAATGTGTTGATTATTCACTTTGAAAGTGTCATATGATCACATGTCAACAGTTTTTAACGTGGTTATTCATTCTTTCCACTTTTTTGAACGACTTTTCATAACTCCTTTATTTGTGTAACTAAATACAATATGATTGTGTTTATGTAATACAAATAATTAATGTGATAAATTCAGTCATCTAGAATTCTGTAAGTAAACATCCGGAAAAGTTTTTTTTTTTTTACAAAAAAAAAAATAAATAAATAAGAAAGGCATTATGAGTTTTGTCATGATCTTTTTTATTTGTGTAAATATTTATATTGTGTAACTTATTGTTTTCAGCAGGACGACAGTAAATATTTATATTGTGTAACTTATTGTTTTCAGTAATGGAGAGAATTGATTTATCCGGTATTACGAAGTTTCTCAAATGTTTTGAAATTTTTTTTGTTTTTGTATTTTACATTTTAATACTTCGTATCTTGTTAATAAGATTATAATTTAAATCTTTTTCTCCATAACTGTTATCAGCTATAAAGATCAAATTAATAGATATAAATAAAGGGAAATAAAGTAAAAAAAAAATATGACGCGCATTTTCCAGTTTTTAATGAATTTTTAGAATCAGTGTTTCGACTATCAACAACTTAGATTTTAAAGTTCCGAGACTTTCGCCATCTAATAAAATTGATGCTTGGGTGTCAGAAATTTGAATTTCGAACCGTATTGCATAAATATTTAATTTCAAACAAATTTTCAGTTTACACATTTATGGATGGTTACACGTGAACAATTGCCTTAATAGATCTTTTTTTTAAAAAAAAATATTTTTTCATTATTTTTATTATATAAATATCTTGTCATAGGGTAGGCATATAAGAATTCGTATTTACAAATTTATAATTAACAAAAAAAAAAATTACTAATAATAACTAACTGCATCTCATTTTACTGAAATGATTTTAATTCTGAGGGTCAACCTATAAAAAATAAGTTGATACAATCATCAAATGCATCACATACTCTTTGACAACTTAAGAGATAAATATCTTTTTTTTTTTTAATAAAGATTATTATTTGTTTTGCATCTTTTTCATGATGATCAAATTTCGACATTAAGAAGTATAGTAAATTAAATAAAATAAATTTACTAGAACTCCCTGAAAAATTGAAAAGCAAGAGAATCTATTGGTTTGTTGGATACGATTGTGCAGCATCGATGTTCAAATATGTGAAGGGGTAAAACTATCTTTTGAGTTCTAATTCAAAATTTATAAGTTCGATAAGAACGATAAACTAATTGTGTATATGAATAAAGTAGGGAGAGAGAAAATAGTAAAAGTTGTATAACAACTAAATCTTTCAATATTTTTTAAATTCTTTTCTTTAACATTCCAGGCATAATTTGTTACGTGAGGAAATTAAAGTTAGGAAGACTTCCCAGGCAAACTAAATAAATACGAGAAGGTTGATTGCGAACTATATTTTTGATATATTTTTTTTTTGGATCATACGGGGGGACATTGCGACATTTCATAATTGTATGAGGCTTTTAAAAATTTATCACGTGATGCGATAATCGCACCTTTTGATTTCAATAGAATGTGAGTGGAGGCGACTTAATCATTTTTATAATAAATGATTAATTTTCTTTGCCGAAGGGAAGCCTTAAATTTTTCTGAAGCCTCAAAGGGTTGCTTATATAAGAAATATAACGGAAAAAAGATTGCGACTATTATGATCTGCAAGTTCTAAAAAAGTAGCATTAACAAAGAAGTCATTGAGTCGATACCCTTTTTAGAATATGAACAAGCGTCAATGAAATGTGAACTTAAGGGGAATCTTAACAATTAAGTCAAACGCAGAAAGAAAAACGCAAAAGAAGATAATTGAAAAATTGACTACAAGGCAAAAAAATTACGAAATGGCGGAGAACACCGAATAAACACCTTAACCTTAAACGAATAAATTTATCATATGAAACACCCCATTCCAAAGAAATTGACGTAATTTCGCGCCTTGTAAGGATAACAAGGATAGTCTAGACACAAGTTGATTTCATTAAAAATAAACGAAGAGCTAAATTAGGAATTTTTTAAAAGAAAAAAAAAAAAATAATGAAAGAAATAATCATAAAGTAATTTGCCAAATATTTATAAATAGATGATTCTTATTTGACAAAACGGTATTTTTCTCAGAATAAACGGTATCGTTAATTTGTAATACGGTTAGAAAAAATTGGAAGTGCACTTTTTAATTAATATTTCCTTTGAAAAAACATATTTCAAATTTATAAACTTTTGATATTTCATTTGAATTAATTTAAGCAAATTCTTACGTGGTTGCTTAAAAAATATCTAGTGTACGTTTAGTCAAGAATAAAAAAAAAAAAATTTTCACGCTTATAAGATCGCACGTGAAACTTCAAACTTTGAATTTTATTTGTAACGGTTATTTATTATAATAGAATAAGCATATACGAAATATACATTTCGAAGCAATTTTCTATAACGGTAAATTAATTAATGTAAAAAAAATAATTTTTACTTTAAGACGCCCAGTTTTGAGAAATCATACCTATGAATAAATTCCTTGCAGTTTTATTGTGCAGTTTTTTTTCCGAAAAGGTTCCGGAAAACGATTCCGGAAAACTGAAATTACACTATGTTCATTTACAATAAGGTTTTATATAAATTTCTTAAATAGATTAATTTATCCATTTATAGAACGCATTTTATTTACAATAATTTTAAGTTTCAACATTTAAAAATTTTCTTGTGATCATTTTAATTTCAGCATGTAACTGCACCAATTTTTTTTTATCGATATGATAATCTATATATTAAATTTCACTGTTTATCCTTTGAGTAATGTTTAATTATATTTCTAATCATATATAAATCGATTTTTGCACTCAACTAAAAGTATATAATTAAGTTGTATATAGCATATTTAACAAGTCTTTATAATTTTGAAATTTTTCGAATAAGATCACATAAAGAAAATCATCGTTAAATGAACCAATCGCTGAATACCTGCTCCTAAAAAGGATATTTCCTGATATTTTAATTTTAAGATTTGCGA